AATCTGCTTCGACGGGTTTGAGGTAGCCCTGTTCAGGGCAGCTTTTCTCTTGGCCTTCTTTGGGGCATTCCGAATAGTGGAATTGGTGAGCGCTACTCGGTCAGAGTCGGGGGGTCTGCAGGTATCCGGTGTTCGCATGCTCGCAGGGAACCTGGTAGTATACCTGGCTACGTCCAAAACGGACGTCATGGGTAAGGGCCGGGATGTGACGCTGGGTCCCCTGCCCGGGTCATCGCTGTGCCCGGTTGCGGCAGTGGCTCGGTTCTTGGAACTGAGACCGGCAGTTGGGGGGTCTTTATTGGTTCATGCCGATGGCTCCTCGCTCTCTCGTTTTCAATTTACTAAGGTGTTCCGATCGGGCATGGGGGCGTTGGGGTTGAGTGCTGCTGCCTATGGGACTCATTCCTTTCGCATAGGGGCGGCCACTGAGGCCGCGCGCCTGGGCATGGGGGACGAGTTAGTCAAGAAGATTGGGAGATGGGAATCCGCTCGGTTCCGCACGTATGTGCGCTTGGGTTTGTTGGATCAGTGATGCGGGCTGTATCGGACGGGGGGAGGGCCCCGGTCTGGGTGTGGGTGTTTTACGTTGTTTTCCTTCTTCCCCAGGTTATGTCGCGTGGATTGTGGGCCATGCCTTCATCGTTTGGGCCGGACGGAGAGCTGCAGCTCGAGCCCAGGGCCAACAGCTGGGCTTCCCGAAAGACCTCCTAACAGTGCGATGGTTGGGTTTTAAGGGATTTGGCTGGGGCGACGTGTGCGGGGTGATAATTCGGATGGTAGCAAGCGGGGCGAGGCCGGATATGCTAGTTCTGCACGCGGGTGGCAATGACCTGGGCCTCATTCCGCAACGTAGGTTGGTTAAATGGATGAAGCAGGACCTGAACAGGTTGTTCGATCTGCTTCCTGGGGTGATGCTGGTGTGGTCTGAGATCGTTCCGAGGCGTCGGTGGCGGCAGGCGAGGCACCCGGTGGCCATCAACAGATGCAGGGGAAAGGTTAACAGCTTGATGGCAAGCTTCGTGAGGAAATTGGGGGGCGTGGTAGTGAGGCACGTAGAATTGGAAGGCGGGCTGCCGGGTTATTACCACACGGACGGCGTCCATCTCTCAGCGGTGGGTCTGGATTTGCTGAACTTGGGTTTGCAGGAGGGGATGCAGAGGGCTCTCTTTCTTCGGGGTGGCGGAGCTCGGTCGGCTTGAGGGGTCAAGGTCCGAGCTTGTGGCGGGATAGAGAGCTAGGGAAGGCAAAAATAGGCTCCCCATGAGGAACGTGAGGAACATGAAGAATTGTGGTCACTGGTGGATGGTGGGTTTCGAGTCCTGGAGGTGGCTCAGAACCTGGTGGGGTAGGGGTATCTGGGTATACCCCTGCCGTGGTTACTTATGGTTGGCATTTAAAATCGGTTCATGTTGGAGTAAGGTTAAAGCATTATATATATATATATATATATATATATTTATGTGTTGCTTATGTTGGGTCATTGCCTTGATATTAATGAAGGTATAGATGCGAGGGCGGAGTATGGGGGCAATGACCCATGTTTTATATATATGTTAAATTATTAGTATCGTTACTATGTTTGTTAATAAAGCTGTGGACAATTTTTCCCATATACCTAGTGTCAGCGTGTTATTGGGGATAGGTATGTGGGGTGGTTGTTGTCCAAGGTTCCGACTGCCCATATGGCGACTATACACCAGTCATGTAGCCCCATGTAGCCAGAGCGCAGCTTAGCGGAAAAGGGCCTTGACAGGGGTTAGGAGGCGGGCATAGGAGGGACCAAGCAGGACTGTGGGATTATGGGATGGGGGCTGGCTATTTAATAGGCAGCCATTTTAAAATGTGCACATTCATTTCTGCCTAGCTGTGTTTGTCCCTCCCTCCCTCCCTGTAATGGGTTGTTTCTGTTTTATCCCGTTTTGTCACAGCGGCGGGATAGAGAGCTAGGGAAGGCAAAAATAGGCTCCCCATGAGGAACGTGAGGAACATGAAGAATTGTGGTCACTGCTGGATGGTGGGTTTCGAGTCCTGGAGGTGGCTCAGAACCTGGTGGGGTAGGGGTATCTGGGTATACCCCTACCGTGGTTACTTATGGTTGGCACTTAAATCGGTTCATGCTGGAGTAAGGTTAAAGCGTTATTTATATATATTTATGTGTTGCTTATGTTGGGTCATTGCCCTGATATTTAATGAAGGTATAGATGTGAGGGCGGAGTATGGGGGCAATGACCCATGTTTTATATATATTTTAAATTATTAGTATCGTTACTATGTTTGTTAATAAAGCTGTGGACAATTTTTCCCATATACCTAGTGTCAGCGTGTTATTGGGGATAGGTATGTGGGGTGGTTGTTGACCAAGGTTCCGACTGCCCATATGGCGACTATACACCAGTCATGATTCTTTGAATTACATAGATAGCCAGAGAATCATGGGAGTTGTAGTTCAGCAACATCTGGGGGGCCGGAGTTTGAAGACCCCTGGTTTAGAGCCTACGTCTCTAACACAGACCTGGGGCTGGAGAGGTACCAGACGCCGGAACGAAGCCATCTCGGGCCGGACACAGGACAAACCACCCAAGGGCATCGGCTGAAGTTAAGAGGCAAACACCCAGAGACACAGACACCCGCATATGAACTGCACCCACCCTACAACTGTCATTTTGTGTACCCGTCAGGTAGACCAGCATAGCGCAATCACCCGAGGTCAATAACATCTTCTGTCCAACCAGACCATGCCAGGAACTCTATATTAATCTTAACAATCCCGTTACCCATAAGTTTGCAACACCAATTTTAGCCAGAAAAGTATTTTATGACTGTCTTACATGCATGGTTTTATGTGTTCATGTGTAAGGTTATAACTCTAAAAATGTTCAACTAATTGCCACTTCATATGTTAGCTTTGTATTACACCAATTATGCCTACTGCTATTGTGGTAAGACGCAACTGTATGTTTATTTCTGCACAGCAAAAATACTAAATAAATAATTAAATTAAATAAATAAATGTATTGTAAAAGATGTTACTAAGACCACAAGATCCTGGTGTCTTTTGAAGCTATAATTTAGACCAATATAAGAACGGTCATACCTCCTTGCGGCTCACGCTGCTCCGTTCCTGCCATCCGTTCTGCTTCTCCAGGCGCTGCTGTCATCCAGCCGACAACGCGTGCGTGACTGGGATACACGCGCGGCTTACCTCTAATCTCTTAAAGCGATACTAACATAATTTCAGGTTAGCTGGTAACCTTTTTATATACTATCCTATTCTCTTCCCTAGCCTATCAGATCTCTCTTAGCCCTATTTATACCTCCCTCCTACATCACTTCCTTGCCCTGTCGTGGTCTATTGTAGCCCGAGAGTGCATTCTGTCGACTTGTGTTTTCCTGGTATCTGACTTCGGCTTGTCTCTGGTTATCCGTATTTCTGGCTAACCTGACCCTTGGCTTGGTTTACCGTTTGTTCTTCCTTCTACTACCCTGACCTTGGCTCGTCTGACTATTCTGTTTTCTCTCCTTACTACTTCACGTTAAGTCCGGCCACTTTAAGGACCGGTAATACGTCTAGCTTGAGTTGCCTGTTTAGTCCTATAGTTAGCGTGTTGGGTGAACGTAACCGTGACACCATCCAATTTAGATCAATATAAGACCTATCCTGGACCTATGTGGTACTAGCAGAACATGAAGACTCCTGGTCTTACAGATGTGTGAAAAGCGCCATCACTTCCAAAGTGAGAAGATGTTTTTCCACTGCCAAAGGTATGGGGGGAGCAATGAAACCTGTAGTGTGCCCCAGTCCTAGGGGCGAGCTCTATGCTGTGATTAAGCAAATGGTAAGGACTCCATTGGATCACACAAAATCAGAATATGTATATAAAAAAAAAGGTTTTTTTAAAAATCGAAAAAGTCAAATTTTAGGTGTAATTACAGAAGATGCAATTCTGAGACAGTGCTCCCCAGGGTGCTGGTTTGGAACATTAATGTTCCACAACCAGTGAACAGCTGTAACTCTTAGGCAAGGGTCTCAAGAGGTTTGAGAAATGAAAGGGAATCTTCCAAGAAGGTTTGTTGTGATGACTTCCTCCACCTTGTCCTTTAGATCCGGTCGCAGCTCTGCCTCCTCTGACATCATTCGACAGGGTTGGCTAATGCGAATAGGAAAGCATTGAATCAAGACGTCCGCCTCCTCTGACGTAATTCGATGGGGGGGCTAATGTGCATGCACAGGAAGCGCCACAAGCGCATTAGGCCCCCCTATAGGAAAGCATTCGATTTCACTGATGCCAGATATCCTCATGCTGTGAATGAGGATGTTCAGTGTCATTTAGGTGACCCAGAAAACTCTGAGTGTCTGTCTGACAGACGACCACTAGAGGCCGTCTTAGTTCTGCAATGTAAAGCGCAATGTTTTATACAGGACTAAGGGGGACAGGGACACTGTACCCAGACCACTTCAATGAGAAGAAGTGGTCTGGGTGCCTCTAGTGTCCCTTTAACCCCTTAAGGACCAAACTTCTGGAATAAAAGGGAATCATGACATGTCACACATGTCATGTGTCCTTAAGGGGTTAAATATAAAGATTTTACTAGTGTTTTTGTACTGTCGACCTGTATTTTCCATGAATTTCTCACTGCAGGGTCATTTGTTTTCTTTCAAACCTATAAAATAATATTCAAAACATCAGAAGATTCAATAGTAGATCTAGAAATATGTATATCTTTTTTTTCCCATGGGCAGTTTCATGAAAAAATGAAAAACATCATAGAAGACAGGATACACTTAAAGTGGCACTCTCAGCACTATAACCAATACAGACGTATGGGGGGCTAGGGGCTTGTTGGCACCATAATCACTACAGTCTAGGATTCCCTTGCATTCCATTTGTGAACATTTTAATAATCTTTGTCAGATAATCATAGAAATACAAGTTTCTTTGCTTCAGCCTTTGTTTGTAAAAAAGCTATTATTTTTTAAAATTTTTAGTGCTGTGAAGAACATGCACTGGATGGCAGGAGGAACATATACTGGAGAAGCATTAGACTTGGCCAAGCAAACAATGGAAGAATCGGTACTAACCCACAAAGTAGCTGTAGTGCTGACGGATGGCAGATCTGATGCACGAGACCGCAAATCCCTGGCTTCACTGTGCACAGTACCCAACATGAATGTAAGTCATTTGGAAAGTCTGTCTGTTGGAGTTATTCAATAGCTATGACTTGTTGAAAATTCACCAAAAAAGCAATATGGGTCGAACTGGACAAATTCTCCAAATCATTTTTTTCCCATTTCAGCTAATCTGGCTGTAAATTTAGAACAACATTGAAAATAGGCTGCAAAGCACTAAATCAGAGCTCCCCTACATGCCAGCTCCTGATACCATGCCTATACCTAGTGCATTACAAAATTTAATTAAACTAAACTCCCTTTTGCTCTTTGTATGAAATGCCACATTCTCTGCTGCCATCATACACTTCATATTCCTTTTCTGTTTACACACTCAGAATCTTCACAGATATAACTCAAAATTAATTTTACATTTAAGGCCAAAGTAGCCTGACTGCCAGCATAACTGGTTTATAGACTTTGTGGCACTGACTGCAGGTCAATGTAAGCTGTGAAAATGACATTGTGCACATTGCACTTTATTGGTTTGTTTTATTTTAGCGTTTGCGACTGAGGTTTGCACTTTGTTCCTTTGATGTGGCACTTTATAGGAAGGCCACATTAATGTTTTGTAGTAGCTAATATTTCTAGATAAAAACCAATCATAATACAAAGTCTCCATGGGTCCAAGAGATAACACCTAATTGGGGTTCCCTTAACCGACACCCACAAATATAAACAAGGTGGAGTATCTTACATATAGTTCTGAATGTTTTAGTCTTTAACCCCTTAAGGACCAAACTTCTGGAATAAAAGGGAATCATGACATGTCACACATGTCATGTGTCCTTAAGGGGTTAAGGGATGTAGTTCTATAATTGAAACAAGGAAAACAAACACTAGCGCAATATTGTCTGAACATAAAAATAAAGTAAATAAAAACAGGAGTTTACACTCACAAGTATAAAGCCAGTAAGTGTTGGCTCAATCTATAAGTGTTGTGGGATTTTTCAGGGTCCCACTCCCTCTTCTGTATGTTGTAATATTAAACGATCCTTGGTTGTAGTCACCACTCCAGTGATTTTCAAAGTCCTTTATTTGTCAAGCTCTGCATAAAAGTATTAAAAAAAAAATCTGCATTTGTGAGATTTGTGCATTTATTGTTTTAAGTCACATGTGAAAGGTATTTCATTTATGCAGTTATGTCTTAACGGGGTTACTCCAAGCACCATGACCAGTTCAGTGATTTGAGTTGCGGGCTGGCTAATGTCAATTCTGTCTAAATTTCATTTTACAGACTGTCAATCAATGGCTGAGAGCATACATTCGACAGTGACGGCAGCTTCACCAGACCACAAGGGAGCATCGGAGCCCAGGCAGGGACCAAGGTGAGGGGGCAAAATGTTGCTGAACAGTTTCCCCCCTTACCAGGGAACTGGACCAGGGTACTCCTGCTATCATAACCACTACAGCAAAATTTAGTGTTTATGATTGGCGTAATCATTTTATTATATATCTTACACACATTGTTAATATATAATATTATTACATACATAGTTGTCTAATATTATATTAAAGGAGCACTATAGGGTCAGGAATACATGTTTGTTTTCCTGACCCTATAGTGCTCCTTTAATATAATATTAGACAACTATAGTGTTAAAACCATCATCTAGCCCCCTTGGCCCCCTTTGCCTCTCTAAAGACAGTACAATCTTACTTGTATTCAAGTCTGCAGCTGCTGCCCGTGCCTGTGAACTTTCTCTGACCTCTAACATCATCAGAAGTGGTGGCCTGATCCAATCACAATGCTTCCCCATAGGATTGGCTAAGATTGACAAGGGGACAGAGCAGCACAATTCAAACACAGCCCTGGCCAATCAGCATTTCCTCATAGAGATGAATTGAATCAATGAATATCTATGAGGAAAGTTCAGTGTCTGCATGCAGAGGGTGGAGACACTGAATGTTTGGATGCATTTTAGGCAGCCATGACCCAGGAAGGATCTCTAAAAGCCATCTGAGGAGTGGTCAGTGAAGTTATCACTAGGCTGTAATGTAAACACTGCATTTTCTCTTTAAAGACAGTGTTTACAGCAAAAAGCCTGAAGGTAATGATTCTACTCACCAGAACAAATTCAATATACTAAAGTTGTTCTGGTCACTATAGTGTCCCTTTAATATTGTTATGGAGTTGTGGACCACAGGAGGGTCTCTCTGTCACTTTGTCTGCCTCCTTCAGTTCACCTTGGCATTAGCATAGCAGTCATTATAGCCCTTATCCCTAGGCTCAGTGAGGGTAAAACAAGCAAGGGTTAATTAACACAATACACACCTATTTATACTGTTCACAACAGTGGCTTAACTACCACAGTCGCAGGGCTTGCAGCGGCGACCAGTCCATCACTCCAGGTGGCCGACCGCTACTTCGGCTGCTGTGACTGTGGGCTGCTGGCATACCTTAAGGGCTGGTGCACTGCAGCGAGGGGTGCAACGTGCTGTACTGCTCCCTTCCTGCCCTGCGTGTAGCGTGGCCGAGCAGTCTGACAGGAAGTGCTCAATGACCGGGGCAAACAGCAACACGAAGGGTGGGGTAAGACACATGGAGGGGCTGCAGGGGAGGGGAGTACCTATGTCCCCATTCTATCCGATAACTGTGTAGTGACACTATCCCTTGTAGTATTTTTAGAGGGTTCTGGGACAGGGTCCATAGCCTGTGTAAACAGAAGCATCCATTACAAATTTTATATTTTATGTGTCTCATATGACATTTATAGCATGTGTTTGATTAGCCAACAGAGTAATATACTCATACAGATTACACAGACAACTCAACTCACCTGATCATAAAGGAAGATATTTATTGTGTATATATTATGACTTTATAGCCTACACACTCATGGAAAATGTTTCCATTGGTTGTAAATGTTTTATCAAACTGCAATGCTGATACAATAATCTGTTCAGACGTTACACCACTCTCACCTAATCTTTTTTTACGTTTTAGTAGTTTTAGAAGCTTTTATGTGTTGCATTTAAGCTATGTTGCCTGGCCGCTTTCTATTTTTGAACTTCAACCAGTGAGACAGCTTTTATACATGTTTCACGTGCAATAACTACAAATGTTTCCTGGTTAGGTCATTTTTCTGGTATGCTGACATGACAGTGGAAAGTGAGTAAGCAAGTGTGTTATCTCTACGTTCCACATTTTATTTTAGGGTTTCATCATTATTAAACTGGAAACTGACCTTCTGCTTCAAGTATGTCGAGTCATGGATAATATTGTTTACATAACGACAGCTATGTATTAGAAAATACTAAACCTATTGAATCTCTCAAAAAAGTTATCTAAAAGGATAGGAAATATTTAAAAAAATTACAGATTTTTTTCTTTACAAGAAACTGAGAAACAAATGCGATCCTTAAAACAAACACATTAAAGCTGGAAAGCTACTTGGAAATTAAAAGCTAACTATTTACAAATTAAAATCCCATATATTAATTCTGCCCAGAATGTGAAACTTTACAATCCAAAGGATATTGTAGAGGAGTTAGCTTTGTACTATAGTAAACTGTACAACTTAACAGGGGATATAGAAACATATCTGCCCACACCAGAGGAAATTAACTGTTTTCTGGATGAAGTTCCTTTGTCGGAACAAACAAGAAGTTGGTGCCACTAGTCTGAGTGCATACAAAGCTCCGAGATCAGCTGCATCCCCTGGATATATATGTAGTAATATAGTTATTACTGTATATTGGCATAAAAAATGTATAATCTTATATTATTGAGACCTAAACATAATAAATAAACCAAAGTATATACAAGTGATACATATGCTAATATGCAAGCCAGAAATAGACACCATGTAGGGAAAACAATCCAAATCCATATAAGGGTGTGATACCCAATCCTAAATATCAGCTTTATTAACAGGTGTATATGCTACATAGGAGGGGATCCATCCCAAACCAATTCCCTAACACTGGGCTATTTTCAGATTATCTCTAAATACTGCTCTGCCTTATCTTATAAAAATCTGTACTGTGCTAGTAATAAGAAACACATCTTGTGTATAGTAACGTGCTATATTGATCTAAGCACAGTCCCGGACCCTCAGTCATAAATCAGCATCTATAGAGTTAAATTGCAGACAGAGCTAGGAAGAGAGAGTATTGTCTATAATATGTGATAGGGAGAGAATGCAGTATATAGTGAGAAAGTCAGTGTCTAAAACACTGACAAGGTAAATTAAAAGCCTCTCTCCCTGGTAATCTAACTAGACAGGCATAGAAGCAGAGGATAGAAAAGTGAAAATCAAAAGAATCAATAAATCAAATGAAAGTCATAGTGCTCAATCCACAAATGCCCAAAAATCATGGCTAAAAATAAGAAAAAACACATTTGGAGTAAAAAATGTCATTAAAAATCCCTTTACAGAAGATGAAGTGCGCAAGGCAATCTTAACCCTTCCAAAACAAAAAGCACCAGGCTCAGATGGGTTTTCTAATTATTACTATATTAAAATGAAATCCATTCTAACACCTTACCTTACTGTACTTTTTATTGATATAAAACATTGAGGCAATATACCAAAAGAAATGTTGGAAGCATATGTAGTGATGTTTCCGAAACCAGGGAAACTACCCATTGAGGGTGCAAACTTAAGGCCTATAGCGATTTTAAATGAGGCTATAAAACTATATGCCAAATTATTGGCTATGCGCATTAAACCCTTATTAGATGACCTTGTTTCAAGAGAACAGGCTGGGTTTGTGCCAAATAGGCAAGTAGGTTATAACACCAGATATTTTATTGATCTCATTGAATGGGCACATAAGACTAAACAGCAAGGTATAAATATGGTATTAGACGCTGGAAAAGCTTTTTTTTATCGCTTACATTGGACTTATAGGACTATGACTTTGAGCAAGATGGGGTTCCCTATCGAGTTTATGAAAAGCATTTTACTCAATCCCTTCTGCAAAGGTATTTCATATGGTTTTTTTATCCAATCCATATAATATTAAAAAAAACCCAAAAAAAACAGTACCCCCCAAGGTTGCCCTTTTTCACCAATACATTTTCTTTTAATTTTAGAACCTTTAGTGAGGCACATTAAGCAAAATCTAGATATTTGTGGCTTGACTACACCTGCAGGGGAACAAAAATTAGCCCTATTTGCGGATGATGTGTTATTTCTAACTCAGCCAGTGAGGGCTATCCCTTCTTTGATCACACTCCTTGAAAGATATGGTCGAGTCTCATATTATAAAAATAATGGAAAAAAAACTAAAGTTTTACCTATTGGATTACCAAATCAGAAAGTACAACTTTTAAAGGAGATATATATACATTTGACTGGCGGAAAAACATCTCGTAAGTACTTAAGTATTAACCTGGCTGAAACCAGCAGCTTCCTAATTCAGGCAAACCATAAGAAACATAAGTATAAATTAGAACAACAAATGGACAAATGGTGGGATAGGGAGGGATGATTATTAGGCTGTGTTAATTCAATAAAGATGATGATTATACTTTTTCGCACAATACCCATAGCATAGTAAGAAAATGTCAGTTTATTATAAATACCTACATTTGGAAAAAGAGGCCTCCACATATATATAACATAATTCAGCAATGAAACCCTATGCTTTGGGAGGGCTAGGTATACCATTTATACAAACATATTATAAAGCATCAATACTTATGCAGGGAATAAAACCTATTTTAAGTTCTATACCACAAATATGGCTCATTTTGGAAAACGCATTTATGAAACCACATACGACAGATCAATTTTTGTGGACAACTAAGATACAAACTTCTAGTTAAACTTTAATACTTTCTAGCTCAAGATATATGCTTCAATGTTGGAAAAAAATGGGCTCCTACGCTTATGGGTAAGGTTACCTCTTCTCATTAGCCCCTTTACAGATGTTAACATAACTGCGGATCTTGCAGTGGAATCATGGGTTAGGAAAATAAGTCTGATATGTGATGAAAAAGGAATTAAGTCTTTTCCAGATCCGAAGAAACAATTCCACTTATTACCTAAAGAATTATTCACGGATCTTAGGCTTAAAAATATTATTATTTTATTAGGCTTATACACAAATAATATCTCTGATATAACTTCCTTTGACCATCACTGTATGGGGAAAACAAAAAAGAGTAAACTATTATCTTTGTTATTATGCGTTTTCAGAATTGGGGAATAAAGGTTAATCCGAATCATAATTTAAAATGGGAAAAGGAGTTGGGTAAAGCTTTCCCTATTTCCCAATGGTTACAGACTATTAAGATAACGAAAATAGCATCCCATAGCTTCTCAGTGGGACGCTTTTTTAAAAATACATATGAGATGGTACTTCGTACTCCTCAGATTGGCACGTATGCATGTTCAGATATCACCGGTATGTTGGAGATGTTTAGGTGAAATAGAGTCCTTACAACATATTTTTTGGGATTGTTCTAGGCTAAAACCATTTAGAAAACTATTAGTAAAATAATAAAGCCAGAATGCTTCTTAGTCCATTTAATCTCTTCTCTATCTGATTTGCCATGTAGGGTTGTGATTCTTAATCTTTTGGTGGCTGCGAAAAACAGTATTGCGGCTCAATGGAAAAAAACATGCCCCCCTTCTTTGATAGAAGTCTTGGAAAGAGTAGACAACACTTTTCAGTTCGAATTAATAGCTCACCATCTTACTGGTAAAGAACATACTCATACTAAATTGTGGTCTATTTGGCCAGAGGTGAAAAAAAATATATAAAAGTATAAAGGAAGGGCAGGGCAGGAAAGAAGGAGTGGGAAGAGATGAGAGAAAGGGAAGGACAGAAAAAGTAAAAGTTTATATAAACAGGTGCACGTATATGTAGATATATGTATATACGCATGGGTGTATGTATGAATGCATAGACGCATAGAAGTAGATCTGAACGACAAGCTTGAGTACAAGATGGATATTGATTTAAAAGGATAAGAGACGGTAGGATTTATACCAATAAAAATGACAAAGTTAAATTAAGAATATATGACTGGAGATATAGGGATGTGGGGTTCTTTTAGAATTTAAATGTATTCATTATTTTTAAAATAAATATAAGTAAAAGGATATGGAAACTGAGCTTATATTTTGAGCTATTATTTGTTTGTGTGCTTTATTATGTGTTTTATTTTCTGAACTGGAGATGTGCATTTACAATTATTGCAAATAGAATATCAATAAAAATGAAATATTGAAAAAAAAGAAAATACTAAACCTCTCATTACATTATCTTAAAGAAATATTTTAACTTTAAAAATTAAAGCATATGTGCAAGAATTAATGTGTGAGGAGTAAATCCAGCCTTGCCATAATATAATAGATTAATGTTATATTTATTAATATATTTTTTATTTTGATTGGATGTGACAATATAAGAATTGCCTTGATCAAATAAATGAATGTATGTTTCCCTCACTTTACAAAGGTTCTTTATTTTGTAAAACAGGTTATTGGAATAGGAGTTGGGGACCTATTTAAAAGAGCTCCTCACACAAAGGTACTGCAGGAAATCACCTGCCAGGGTACAAAAGCACAAGGAATGCAAGTCCTCGTAACGGAATACTATGAATTACTAGAGGAGACCTTCTTTGAAAATGTCACAAAACATATATGCAAAGGTCAGTTTACTGAAACTGTATCACATTTCAGCTCAATTAATTTCCTTAAAAACATTTTGCTGACAATATTGATATATATTTACTTTTTCAGACTCTGCCTGTCCTGATTTCTCTTGTCAAGGTAAGAATACTAATTGATTTTACACATTTACATTAATGCATTTATCCTGTAAAGAGGAACTATCACTTCCCAGTAATTTCAATAATCTTATGTCCTTGAATTGGGGCACCACACGAAAAAAAAAAAATGTTTTCTCTAATAGTGTAATTTCCAGAAAAGTTATAGTTCCCTTTAAGCACAATCTTTAAAAGTAAAGGCTGCACCTTTAAAAGAATAGTAGTGTTACATGTTTCAGATAAAAACTGTTTTATAATAGCATAATGTTTGATTTTACAAGTTAACGATATAAATCTAAATTTACCAATTTCAACTTTTAACCGTTTATATAGTTGGGTTGGAAAATTGGATAATCACAATATATTTAAACTTCCCAAGATACCTATGTTTCGCAGTCTAAAAGGCAAAGAACATCCTTTAACCTACCAATAAATTATGATAATTGGCATCCGATTATTATTTGCTGGTTCAATCTTTATTAAGTCCTTGCTGTGTGCTACAAGAGATGTCCTCCTTTTTCATTTGTAAGATAAAAGGCTAGATTTTAATTACCACATTTGTAGCTTATAATGGTATTACACAGGTAATTTACTTATTTATAAAATATTTTACCAGGAAAGATACATTGGGATTTCTCTCTTTTTTAACCCCTTAAGGACACATGACGGAAATATTCCATCATGATTCCCTTTTATTCCAGAAGTTGTGTCATTTAGGGGTTAAGTATGTCCTGGGTCCACAAATCATTGCATTGTTACATTAGGGTACAATAAAATACAAAACCAATATGAATACACAATAAATACAAAATTTAACATAGAACAGTAATAGTAATAGTGGTCTATGGTAATCAAACCAGTTATTCTCTCTAAATGTGTTCTAACTTAATTTTTTTGTATATCGTTTCTTGGTATTTTACACGGATATCCTTCCTATATGTATGTAGCAGAGAGCATTTAATTTATGACAACATTCTTCTCCCTGTCATTTCAAAAGTTTGCTACCCAGGTAAAATGTATTTATTCGGATGTGAAATAGCTTTGAAATTAGATTGCATGTGTTTCAGTGCTTTGATTTAAGTTTCTGTTTAGGAGGTTTGTTTTGTTAAATATTTTTCTGTGCAAGCCATGTTGATTGAAACTTCTTTTATTGCAGTTGAATTTGAAGAACCTACAGATATTGTGTTCCTGCTGGACGGTTCAAGCAGCGTTGGCTACGATAACTTTAAAAAAGTGAAAGAATTTGTTAAAACAGCAATTACCCATATCCTATCAGAAGAAATGAATATAAATATAATGCTGAGAGTATTGGTTGTTCAGTATAGCAGTGCAGGCCTGCAGAAGGTAGAAGTCCCATTTACCAGTAAATTAGAGGATGCTGTGTCGGGGCTATCAGGCATCACATATATGGAAGAGTCAACAGACTTACCAGCTGCTTTAAGGTTCCTTACAAACTATCTCAAAACTAATGGACGTCCAAATATCCTGAGAAAGTTTATAATATTTTCAGACGGCAGATCTTCAGGAATAGCACAAAAGCAAATCACAGCGCAGGCTGCAGCCACATTAAGCCCTAGAACTGAACTGTTCGCAATTACTGTAGGGATATTTAATGAGGTGGGAATTTGTCAACTTCTCAGTGGCAAAGAAAGTGATTTTAAATATGATCAAATAGAGAAAAGAGTGTTTCGGGTTTCAGAATACAGTGACTTATTAAAAAGAGTCACCTTGCAGAGCTTCCTGATGAAAATTACATAATCTATTTCAAAAGGAAGTGAATTCACATTTTAGGTAAAACACTACTTTTTGTTTTTAAATTTTTATTCTTTTATTTTCAGTTTAGCGTGTCCAGTGAGAATTCTTCTCTTCACCAATTTAGTACAAATGCCAATGGTCCAAAATGAAAATTATGCCCAAAGGGAAGGGGATTATGTATATTCTACAACTATAGGAGATGTAAGACATTGCAATCATTTACAATTTAATATATTTCCTGAAATATGGTGCAGAAAACAGTATAGCCCTACATAAGAAAATGCAGCTTTTGAGATAATATTGCAAATGCAGAAATGTATGATTTATTGACAACGGAGTAAGTTACATGATTTGGTAAATTTGCACTCCATCTGTAAAGCGCTATGGAATTTGCTGGCGCTATATAAATAATAAAATAATTATAATAAAACACATGGAAACTTAACCAAACTGACTTTTTTATTTAGTGAATAAACCTTTTGGATATCAGTGACATGACTTGAATTATTCTGTCATTCTCATTAGGTAAAGGTTTCAATTTGCCTTTAGAAACCAATTCATAAAATAATGGGGTTTGATTTGCTCAATCTAGATTCTCAACCCAACCAATAGAGTTTGATTTGCTCAGTCTAGATCAGTGGTTCCCAAACTTTTTAGGTCCAAGGCGCCCTTAATATTTGAAATATTTTTTCAAGGCAACCCAAGTCAAAATTTCTAGGTTGTATATCTGTGCAGCGCTGTGGCATTTACAGGCGCTATAGTGTAATGTATAGTGTTAATGTTTGAAGGGGTGCTTGTATATAGTTTAAGTGTTTTAATACAGGGGTGTGTTTGTATGTAATTGTGACGAAGTGCCCTTCGCCACTTGTGCCTGGAGAGGACTGCTTTCCCGCCTCTTGCCCTGTGACTATGGACCCTGGGAGATTTGGCCCGTTCAATTCAGTATGATAGGAGTTATGTATTTTTGTATCTTTTTGTGTTTTACTGGGAACATGTGCTCAATGGAGTCTGCTTCTATCTCTGGATAATTGGATTACTTTCCCCATTGTCTCCAGGCTAGAGGGCTCTGTAAAACCAGTTTGGGCCAGATAGCCATGCTGCCAGCCAGGCCCCAAAAGATACTTTACTAACTTCTGAACCCCTGGTCTGATTCATGCCATATTTTGATATGTTGTTTCCCTGAATGGATTGATTGTGAATATATAATTTTTATGTGATGTATATTTTAGAAGTTATGAATGCTGTAAAAACTGTATTATTTCTGGCCAGCAGATAATTGAGCTTTGTGTATTGTAGAAACTCAATTATCTAGCCTGGCCCAGAGGAGGAGTTTTGTGTTGCATAAATTGTGAGTTCTGTGTGCCAGTAAATCAGTCTTGTTCCAGCATTAAGCCTTGGCTCATGTTTGGGGGATTGGAGAAATACACTCTGGGGATTACTATAATCACTATACTCCCCAGGGTATGATCACTAAGTTCTGCTAAGAGCTTTTTCCTGTTCCTGCTCTCTGGGGAAAGAGAGGTTCACCCACTGGAAGCTGGATCCTGGCCTTGGGTCCAGGATGGGTGGAGACAGCAGAGACCCCGGGGCAGTTGCATCGCTGGAAGTGGGGTCTGCAGTGCTGATGGTGTCGGTTGGAGTCCTCAGCGAGCACTAGGAGCATTGATTGGCGGAGGTACTCAGTCGGAGTGCCAGCGGTCCGTCACAGTAATATATATTTTAAAGGTGGATGTACATTTGTGTGAAGCATTTGTGTTTGAGTGAAGGGGTGTGTTTGTATGTAATATTTGTTAGATTGCACGAGTGTGTTTGTTTGTTGTGCTGGTGTTTGACTGCTTGGATGTATGCACATACATACACACACAGATATTCATACACATACATACACACACACACACAGGGGTTCTCAACTCAGTCCTCAAGGACCCCCTAACAGTCCAGGATTTAGGAATTAACCTGTTGTGTTTAAAGTGTTTGTTTCCCCGAAAACACACTAGACACAGCAGGGTAATCCCTAAATCCTGGACAGTTGGGGGGTCCTTGAGGACTGGGTTGAGAACCCCTGACATAGACACTGACACATATATAAGCAGAGACACATACACACACGACATATACACATTGATACACACACTGACATAAAAACACAGATGTGTGCACACACAGACACACATGCAGACACAGATGTGTGCACAGACACACACGTGTGCACACACACTGACACTCCAACCTCCCTCCTGTTAGGAGGGTGGCTTGGAGTCCATCTGCTGCTCGTAGGAGTGAGGGGTCTGGAGCTGCTCCTGGAATGCTCCTCTCCCTCCTGCATGAAGCTGGGAGGAAGTGACAGGTTGTCACTTGCTCCCAGCCGGCCGACATTACAGGGGCCCGGTCGTGTCTTAGAGGACCGCGACAGTCAACCTGGCCCCAGTTCAGCATAATCATAGCACTGGGAAACATTCTGCGGCACCCCTGTGTGCACATCTGGGGTGCCGTGGAACAGTTTGGGAACTGCTGGTCTTGATTCTCAATCCAATAAATGGGGTTTGATTTGCTGAGGCTAGATTCTCAATCCAACAAATGGGGTTGGATTTGCTAGGTGACTTATCTACACTACACCATAACAAAAGGTAGGATGTGTCATTACGTTCTACAAAGTCTATGCTTTAACGACAAGAGGGTGTCATAACATTTTGATATCAGCAGGGTAACACCAGGGAGTACCCAGGTATCAATCGTTAACTGAGGCTCCCTTTCCACAACTGGGCCCATTTTAGAGTCTGAAATACACTGACAGGGTCTCACTGCATGCTCTCATGCCGATTGATATTGGTGCTGGGCTTTGCCAGCTGACCAGCACTGATCACAGTATGAACGTCAGGAAAAGCATGCTGGAGGTTCAGCATTATAGGGATATCTCCCTGTCATGCTGAAAAAAGCCACTAATTGTGGCTGTGGTAAAACCACTGCTTATTCGTGTGTTTTCCACTTGTATTGTGTGTTTCCCTATTTCATGTAGTGTACCCTGTTTTCCCGTTCGGGAGCGTCCATATGAACGGATTCCATTCGTTTCCCGAACAGGGATTACCCCGGTGCCCCATTGGAACGTTCACACCAATTACTTAGAACATTCACACCAATAACAAGTGTGAAACCGCAAGGGGCGTAATTAATGTGTGCTGCCCTGGGTGGCCACCATTTCATATAGACGAACAACCAAGGGGAGTATTCGTATCCTGAAAGGAGACGCTTCCCTTGCATGGTGTTCGCACAGGAACCTCACAAATGGAGAACGGTCAGGGAACTTTACTTTTGTGGGGGTTCCTAAGGACGCTTTTAGGGCACTGGCTATTCTGGCGGGCTTTCTGTGCCTTGGAGACAAAGAAACTAGATCCCTTTTCCCGCGACTTGGATCCCAGGCACTGAGGATCCTGGGATGAAGACCCCTGTCGTTTTGTGTGGAAGACCCTTTGCATTGGGTTATGCATATAAGCCATGTGTGGCACAATAAAATCATGTTGTACCCACAGAGCTGTGTGTTGTTCAGTTACTGGGGGGGAATGGGTGTCTTTATACTTTAAGTGGTTCCAGAGTGGCTGAGGGAAGGCATTATCGGAGGTAACCGGTCAGGTTACCCGTGGTCTGCTACAGTGGCCCCAGCTGACTGAGGGGACCACCTGGCATCGAAAGATACTGGTCTGTGGATTTAACCCGTGCTCATACCTTTACTGCATGACAGTCTATTTTCTCACAGGGCACCAAAGCCCTGCACTGCATGACGGCATAAAATACGTGAAGTGATTTATTTCATCCATATTAGAAACCTACACTTACATGTATGAGTCAGAAATACTTATTTAAAGAATAATACCCATATGCTTTTTGGAGTATGAATTACGATTGTTGTGTTACGTCACATGAGGAAAAAAAACTTTCAGTCTGTTGATCATTATAGAAAATATACCATTGTAATGTGAACTTTAATGGTATGAGTTGACTCACCTTTATTTACTCAAGCAATTAGTGTAGTTAAGTGCTTAAGAATGTAACCAGTCCACATATAACGAGGTCATCGTGTTCATTGTGGAGAAATCAATGGAGCCCATGCTGGCAATCAGTTTTCAGTGTCTTGATTTTACATGGCCATTTTTCCTGTGAATCCTTCATCAAACCAAACGTGGTCTTTCCTTTGATGCAAAGGCAACCCTAAATTCACAACCACATAAAAAGCGCTGTACTGTGCAATATAAAACAAATATACAGAACTATATCCTCTTATATAAGATAGTTTTTAGTTCAGTCTGGATAAATCAATATTAAATTCACAAACATATAGTGCAAAAAGATCTAGGTTCAATGCACCCCTTCGTTAAAATAAACCCCAGAGCCACCAAGGTCAGATCTGGGTATAAAGGTGTAGAGGGAGAAGGCACGATAACCCACTGGAATATACCCCTAGAAAGTAGACTCAAAAGCAAACAGCAGAGACAGGAAATATGTAAAACCGTCTTATAAGTTTATTCCCCAACTAAAAATATCTGCTTACTTTAAAACATGGCAAGCTCTCACATGGAAGACTCACAATCAGGCATGCAAAAACAAGTTCCAGAAGAGAACAGCACAAGGCCCACCGAAACTATGTTTAATCTTCACCTTCTATGACGCCAGATGTCACGTGATGCTTTTCGCCTTTACACTGCGTGAGCTTCTTTCATCAGAAGAAATGTGTGTTTGCACATTTATTTTGGGTAGTGCATGCAGCTGATCCATATTTAATATTTAAATAACTGAGCACATATTATTTTTTAAGTACCTTGCACACATTCCTTTGGTCTTTTTATTCCAAAACCAATCTGACTAGCCAGAAATAAATATAACAGAAAGCATTCAGCCTTGAGATTTCAAAATATGTTTTTTTTATCTCTATAGGCTGACCACTGTGAATCATACATACGCTTGACTCCATACTTCCTGAGATCCTTACAATGACTAATAGCAGGGCAAGAAGAACCATCTTTTTTATTCAAGAAAAGTAAACATCAATTTAAAATAGTTGCAGCTACCCACAGTAGCTTACAAATGTTTCATATATTTTATGTGAAAAACCAAAACAAACGTACTTAATAAATCATACGGCTCTAGAACAGGGGTGGCCAAAAGGTAGATCCTCATCATTTGCAGAACCACAGGCATCCTAACCATGCAATTTAAAAAAAAATTAAAATCAGGACTATCCTGCCATCCCCACTTTGTTCTCTTGTAGCCTGCTTTTAGGGACACCAGAGAATTGCGCTATGTTCCACGCTCTAGGACCCTGCAAAAAGCACTGAAACAGTGCTCCTTGCTGAGTCTGCCCTCGAGGGGCCGGCCTGTATAATGGCTGGCTGACCTGCCAATAAATCGGACCGGCCCTCCCCTTTTTAGGCAGGGCCACCCCATTTGGGCAGGGCCTATGACACAATTGTGTAACTGGCCTGCCCCCTCCCACAAGCACCTTGTTTCAGAGTTGGGAGGTATGCAATATCCATGTTGCTTTTGGACATTATGGACATTGTAGTTCTGCCACAGCTCAGGATGTACTTCTGGCCACCCCTGCTATTAAACAGATTTCAGTTTCTGCAAAGACAGATAAAACATCAATTAATTATATGAAGTTGCATTATATTAAAAATGAATTAGTCAAGTTGAAGTAAAAAATTTTTAATGAAACAGATCACGTTGGATCTTATCTCATCAGCACAAATATGCCAAGGAGCAAGAAATCATAACTATATAAACGCTATAGTGTAATAACTTTCAACTAAGGTTGTTCACAAAACTCCAATGGGTACATATTTAAACCCTGAATTGCAATATAGCCAGGCAGAGATTGGAAACTAATCACCTTTAAAACAGCTTCCTTAGTACTAGCTTGACACACTGAGAAGGCTTTTCATACTCCGATGATGTCCTTCTCATATTGACAAACTCAGTGACATCGACGTATCACCTAAACTCTGTTCTGTGCAGTATGGAGAATAGAGTCAAAATAGGGATATTAATCGTGCTCCAACTCAACCTCTCAGCTGCAGACTCTGCACTCGAATTACCGCATACAGATGACACACAATTCTTTAATATATTAAAGAATCAAACTAGCAACAGACCCAGAAAAATTGTTCCAGAAGAATGACACACAGAACCTTCAAATATATGGAATGGTGGATTGATAAACCTACTCCATGGATGTGGAGTCCACACGCTTAAAATGAACAACCTTCTACGTATTTTATTCTAGTTTCAAGTGCTCCCACTCCGTGTTCCGAAAATGGATTTGGCACTATTACAAATGACTACAGTAGAACAAAAACCTTTCAATAAAATAACATTAGCAGCCAGAAGGGCTTTTGCCCACTCTTGGTTAAATTCAGAAATATCTTCCATAGCAATGATGATGCTAAAGATCAGAGATAACCATTTGATGGACAAGCCTAACTACCCAGGTCAAAAAAATAAGTGTGGCTTCTCTGGGAGGATCTACAGGGACATTAGTTTGTGGTGGCCCAGGTTGTGGGCATAAGGTAACCTATAAAGCCCCGAAAAAAGATTATTTCCAGGACTATAGGTCTATTCAAGATTTGGAGCTAACCTAAAGTTTCAAAATGAGGAATCTTAATTGGAAAGAGAGTATTTAAAACGCATTACATTATTAGTAAAGAGAAATAGTTTTGTGAAATAAACAGAACCGTTTTGTTATTGCTGTAATACAATAAAACACAGCTGTTATGCATAAATTGAGGAACTCCATTTTTTGTTTTGTAAATACTTAGGCCCAGATTGTAACTTCCCATTGGAATAGGGCCTTTATCCCTTGCTGTATTGTTTGCCAAATTATGTATTGTCTCTTAGTTATAATGCACTTTTCTGAATTAGGCAGGACATTACCAAATTTGGGTTCCTGTCCTGCCATCCCCATGGTGTTCTCTGGGATGTCTTAAATTAGAGGGACAAAGGTTTAAAAATAATATCAGGAAGTATTACTTTACTGAGAGGGTAGTTGGTGCATGCAATAGTCTTCCAGCTGAAGAGGTTAACACCGTAAAGGAGTTTAAGAATGCATGGGATAGGCATAAGGCGATCCTAACTATAAGATAAGGCCAGGGAATAATGAAAGTATTTAGAAAATTGGGCAGACTAGATGGGCCGAATGGTTCTTATCTACCGTCACATTCTATGTTTCCAACATCCAGGAACAACAGTGAACTGTCCCCAGACAGAACAAAAAATATATATAATTGATGGAAGGGGAAAAAAAAAAAAAAGGATGATTGATGGTTAAGGGACAGCCACTACATGTGATTTTATTCACAGATCAAGTGAGAAATGAAAAAAAGTAGGAGCAAAAAAATAAAAAAACATATCTATACACATTATATATTTAATAACTATAGAAACTATAAACACATAAATAGATTTTTTTTTTTAATGCCCCCTTTTTCCTTAATTGGTTACGTCGTCTCATTTGATCTGTGACCTAAATGGAATGGAAAAGCACCTTTCAGTGTACTGTAAAATATTTGCATTATACTTAACTTATGTATATATTTTACAGTACTCCGAATGGCTGATTTTCGTGCCATTTTGGTTCACCCGAATCGTTTATCCTAAAATAATCGCATGGATGAAATTCTTTCAACTTAAAAAAACTAAGACTCCGTTTGGACAAACCACATTTTTTGCTGTGCACAAGTCTATTATTAATCACATGCTTCTAGGTAATATAAAACAGCATAAATGAAGATGATATCTACCAGGGAATCAATGGATTCAAAATGGATCATTATTCAGTTAATCAATGGTTATTGAAATAATTAAAAAGAAAACCACTGTGGGACATTTTCAAGATTGGAGTTAGTTGCTTTATGTGCCAGAGGATGAAGGTGGATACAACCTTTGCGGAGTTCGCTGTATTGGGGTGTCTGTGTAATGCGTAATCCTAGGAGCTAACCAGACCACAACTAGACAATGGAGAAATGCTAAACCACCTTCTTGCACTGAAATAATTGCGGTTATCATTGATATCGCATTCGCTGCCGTTTGTGATATAAAATATTTTCTTTATTTGTTTTTAGCTGTATATGTTTGCAAAACAACAAAAACATTTATATTATGAAAGAATTTACATTTTTATTTCCCGTGTCCCGGATCATGTCTCTTTTATTCCCCATATCCAGTCAATCTCCAGATCATGACACTTTAAAATTAAAGGAACACTCCTTCCACCATAACCACTACAGTGTGTTCTGGTGGTTAGGGTGCCGGGAGTGCCTCGGCGCTATCTCTTACTGTAAGCACTCAAACGGTCTGCTAATGGTATGACAATTTCCCTGGGCATCTCCTTCTACCTTCATTAGAGCTGGAAGCTCCTGCAAGGAGCTACTATTAGCTCTTCAGAACTATACTCTGGTATGCAGGCAGAGATCAGTGTCGAGATCAGTGTCTGAAAGCATTAGGCTTAGTTCAATGCAGAGAGCTTTCATGACTTCTGCCTGGAAGACTCCAGGTAAGTATTCAAATCGTTAGCAAATAGTTTGACTACTTACACTGGGTGGGGGTCCATTAGGGATATACTAGCACCATAACCACTAATGCTTTAATATGAAAATAGCAGGAACTGAAGACTGACCTCTGTTTTATTCCCCACTATCAGAAGAGAGAGAGAGAGAGAGAGAGAGAGAGAGAGAGAGAGAGAGAGAGAGAGAGAGAGAGAGAGTATATATATATATATATATATATATATATATATATATATATATTTTTTTTTTATTATTTGTTTTCTATTTTTTTTTTCCAATATATATATTTTAGGCTAAAATAGCAAAGCTGTGACTACAGATAACTGACAACAGATAACAGAAAACCTAAACCCTGCCAACAATTTTAACCTAAATAGAATTTCAATTTACTATATTTCTGAGTTCAGTGAATACACGTATTTGAAATCCTTACAATTTTCAATTTAGTGGTTTATTCACTAAACTCTAGAATGTACAACTGACGAGATAATAGCAAAATCTATTCAAACCTAAATGATCCAATTCTGCAGCTCAGCTATAGCTGGTTATTATAGCCTCCATTTCGCTGGAGAGATATGAATTCACTATAAACCGATGACAGCCGTACCCAATTACCAGAAACAAGGTGTTTCCTGTTCAGCTAGTAACAATGTATAACCCTTATTCCTGATGTACATTCAAACCGTGCCTGGCATTGCTGGTGAAGACCTGGCTTTCCTACTCCCAGTGCCCAGCCTGAAGGCACAGGTTAGCTGTCAGTGAGGAGGATCAGGAAGCTGTGTGTTTGGTGGAGAGAGCATGCTCAGCAAGGTGGGTCTGCTGCCTCCTCCTCCATAGGCCGGGGATAGGAAGCGTTCACTGGGCATAGAGGAAGTGACTGTGTGTTTCTCAAACACATAAACACACTGCCACAAGGCTAGGAACCGCTGTGTGCTGGGGACAGGGCAGGTGGACGCCCGAAAATCATAGGACTCAGGTACTGATAGGATTCTGCTGAGAACAGTGAGAATGGTTTCTTGATACAGATCAAATTCCAAGGACTTCACTAATAAGAGACTGAAGACACACATATACTGTACCTGCATCTGGCAATAGCAGTTACTGGATTAATGTGAGGCTGGAATTACAAACACGATTTAAAGGGATCATAAGGGACCATTCATCAGACCTGCTCCAGAGAGTGATTTCCTGTCATGCCTTGTTTTATAGACCACCTATAAAAGTTGTGTTTTTTTTTTTGTTTGTTTTTTTAAAAAGGATCTTGTTTCTGGATTGGCAGCATCAACACAGAAACTAAACTAGGAACTGGTTTATAAAATGAAATGCAGTTCTGATTTTCAGATATTTATAAACGTAAAAAAGTAAATAAAGGGCTTTTGAGATAAATACTGGAGTGAGAATATAGTAGCCACATATTAAACAGTTCTACGTATCTTGCATGCGTTTCGTTAATATCCCAGGCTGAATACCAAATTACTGTATTAATGGAAAAACTGTAATCTATATCAATGAAGTACCAACAAATGGATTAACAGCAACTGGTTCAAAGACGCAAGAGGCCTGGTACTCTGCAGACACAAATCATATCCCGATAAATCAAAGAAATCAAGGCCAGAAAAATACTTTAGAAATCTAATATAACAATCCCGGGTTACTGGCACGTTGCACCAACAATACAATCAGCTTGGATAAAACATTTCAAACATTTTATGCCAGAAAAGTCTCCAGATGATGAATTTCAAGCCATTTTTTTGACATCTTCCCTTACGTGACAAATGTATATTTTTTGGCAGTTGTTTTAGTTTCCCCCAGTTTCAGTTTCCATTTATTTCTATTTGGGTTTTTTTTTTCCTGCTCATCATTTCTTATTTTGGTCTCTTCTTCCTCTTAATACCATGGATGCCTCTGCATTGGAGCTCGATGCTCTGAAGTTTGCCAAACTGGCTGTGGTGTATGACCAAGCCGGAAAATATAAAGAAGCGGTGTTCTATTACAAGGTATGAGCATTAATTACCTCATATTTAAAGCACTAAAGCTTGACTTGGCAGGATTCAAATGATAATTCCAAATATTAGACCATAAAAGCCATTGCTTGGGGAATGGCTGATGGCTTGGAGAATTGTTCGTTAGATTATTTCGGCCTAAATTTAAAATTCACTTAGAATCCCTGCCAGTCCACATGATAGTGAATGACCCTGTGATACAGGGGAGGGCTGGCAGCCTTGGGCCTGGGGGGCAAATCCAGTCAATTGGCCCATTGCACCATCGAATTAGCTCACCATCCATGCCCACTTTTTCCTGGTTTTATAACGGATATAGGTGTAGTCCATGTATCAAGCACGTTTTGTATACATTCATGGCATTACCATCCCATACACCGTCACCAGGGCTTTACAAATTTAATTGAAATCTAGAAGACAGCTGAAAAAGTTAGGAGTAAAGTTTTCAACTTCAAAAATACAATTTTTAAGGGACACTGTAGTCACCAGAACTACTATAATTTAATGTTGTTGTTTTGGAGCCTTTATCCTGTCCCTGCACACTTTTTAATGTAAGCACTGACTTTTCAGAGAAAAGTCAGTTTTTACATTGCTGCCTAGTAGTGATTGTAGTCTTTAGTTGTGATTGGACCCTGGGCAAGCATCTGCATGGGCCCTGTGGATTCCCTCCCCCCACCCCCCATGGCATCAATCCAACCCCTCCCCCCCACCCCACAACAAAAACAAAAAAAAACACACACATATATATGTATACACACACTATATATATATATATATATATATACATATATATATATATATACACACACACACACCACGCATACACAGACACACGGTTTATAGAATATATATATATATATATATATATATATATATATATATAATATACTGGGGGTGCAGAAGGGAGGCTTTGTGGGTGGCTGGTGGTGCCAGAGGGGAGACTTTGTGGGTGGCGAAGGGGAGGCTTTGTGGGTTGCTGGGCTGGGGGTGCTGAGGGTTGCTGTTGGAATGGTTCACACATGGGAGGGAGGTGGAGACTGCCAGCGCAGTCACAGTGAGGCCCTAGCATGACTGTCTCTGTCCACACAAGTACACATACTCATGGGTACACACACACACACAGGTACACACATACTCATGGGTACACACACAGGTACACACATGGGTACACACACACACAGGTACACACACACACACACACACACAGGTACACACATACATACACACACACAGATACACATAAGTACTCACTGACACACAAGTACACATACAATTACACACAGGTACTCATACACACTGACATACACAAACATATGCACAACCTCATGTACACACACAGACACAAACATATATAAATAACAAGTTACATATTTTCTCCACCCTTTTGATGCAGCAGGATTGATATCCTGAGGTCCAGTGGGAGCTGGCTGTCCTCGGATGATGGGAGTCCCTTCCCTCCTCCACGTGTGCAGCAGTTGGTTTGTGTTGCCGCCGACTCTTCCTCCCCATACGCCGCCCTGTCAGCTGGGACTCGGGAGGAAGTGATGTGAACTCCCTCCCAGCAGGCCGCGGGGGAAGAGCGGATCAAAATGGGCCGCGGAGAGCAGGAACTGAGCGCGTACAAAATGTCAGGGGCCCGGTTGTGGGTTGCGGGGGTGGGGAAAAAAAAATAAGAAGCGGCCTGACAGCTGCAATATTAAAGGGCCACGGGCCCCTGATTAAATGTGTATGGGCTCAAGGGGCATCTTAAAGATGGCCCTGCCCGGCGTGAGCGCTGAATGCAGGCAGCTAGCAGCCCAAGCAGCCCTGGATATAGGGCGGCCTGGGGGGCAATTGCCTCCCTGCCCCCCGTCCCAGCCCGCCCCTGCTGTGATAGTAATGTGTGTATTCTGCAGCAAATCATAAAGGGATAAAGTAAATGGTGCATTGTGAGGTGTTGACAGGCAGCTTAAACAACGAAGGCCAATAGGAGCAAGCCACTGCTCAGCAAACTAGTTCTTTTCTTGCTTCACGTTCAGCTTTACTTACGTTATACATGTTTTTGACCAGGGCTGTCCAATCTGCGCCCCCTGATGTTGCTGAACTACATCCCATGATTCCCTTGTTATCTGATTAATTCAAAGAATCATGGAAGTTGTAGATCAGAAGCATCTGAGGGGGCAGCAGGTTGGACAGGCCTGTTTTAGACCAAAATTTGGAGATAAATATAGTTGTTGATGTTTTTTTTTTTCCAGTTTGCACAATGATTTGAAAATGACTGCATCCTTTTTCTATGTTCAGTTTGTCAAGTGCAAAGAGGAAATGTTTCTCACAAGAAAAATTAGGGGTAAGGGGAGTGCAAAATGAAAATGCGACAAAAAAAATTAATGACCTCCAATGTTCTCATTGCATTAAACCTTAGTTTAAGCAGAAGTGATTGATTTTATTTGTGGTAGCTTTATAATTAAAGATATACTACAGCCTGGAAGCAGCTCCCATTTTTTTAGCACATACATTAAAGGGGCACTATAGTCATTAGAACAACTATAGCTTAATGTAGTTATTCTGGTGAGTACAATCATTACCTTTAGGCATTTCCGTGTAAACACTTTTTTTTCCAGAGAAAAGGCAGTGTTTACATTACCCACCTAGGAACATCTACAGTGGCCACTCCTCAGATGGCTGTTAGAGGTGCTTCCTGGGGCACTGCTGCACACTCATAAATTCTAATGATATCAGCAAAGAGGCAGATAGAAGGCGGGGCCAGCCCCAGCAGACCTGCATGGCGAGGGAAATAAGGTATGTTTTATTATTTTTTAATGGGGTTAACATGGGAGCAAGCCACCTAAACAGTGTTTTTAACATTATAGGGTCAGTAATACATGTTTGTGTTCCTGACCCTATAGTGTTCCTTTAAATATATGCAGATGTAAGTTTAACAAAATAAAAAATAATCACACAGGGAAGCTTTAGCAGCAATCAGCCCTAACGTACAGGCTTATTCACTAAAGAATTATATTTGAAATTCTTACAGATACTATAAGAATCAAGAGGCATTCATTTTGTGTTGTCGGTCTCTTATTCCATAAACCCTGGTCTAGGTGGTGGTTCATAACACAGTGTATATATAACTTTTTTCACATGCAATTGAGAAGAGACAGATTTACAACTTCAGCCAGTTTTGCAAATGGATGTAGATACCTCTAGAACAGGCTTCCTCAAACTGCGGCCCTCCAGATGTTGCTGAACTACAACACCCATGATTCTATGAATGAAATAGGCTGAGAATCCTGGGAGTTGTAGTTCAGCAACATTTGGAGGGCCGGAGTATGGGGAAGCCTGCTGTAGAATGTAAGCTCATTTGAACAGGGCTCTCTGTTCCTGTGTGTCCAGCTCATCTTGTTGCAAATACATGTCTGTTAGCCCCCTTATTGTACAGCGCTATGGAATTTGTTGGCGCTTTATAATAATTCAAACAACTTTGTGCACGGACTGGGTACCTCCTTGGACTATACCATGTGTGATATTTATTCATAGGATATCATGGTTCGTAGAGATTGATAATGGCAGTGCCTGCAGGGAACAGCATCAGGTACGTAGAACTCACCTGTGCTGCACCCCAAGGCCACCGCACCCCATACGGTTATGTCACTATGTGACAGAGTAACTTTATCTAAACACGGAATTGTAGCAAATTAAATGTTTTATAATTGGGAGTTTTTTGAATAAACTCTTAGAGATGTAAACATTGTGGTATAAAAGTATTTCTAATTTGATATCTAATCAGATATTTATCAGATGAACATCTCCAGGAAAATAATTTTATGCAAGAAAACTAAAAATTAAAGGAACACTATAGGGTTCATGTATTTCTGACCCAGAAGTGTTAAAACTACTATCAACCCCTCCCTCCGCTGCCCTAAATATAGTAAAATCTTACCTTTATTCCAGTATGCTGGTACTGGCTCTGTCCCTGATCTGCCTCATTAATTGGCATCATCAGAAGTAATGATCTGAGCCAATCAAAATGTTTCCCCAAAGGAAAGAATTGAATTTACTAAGATTGTCAAATCTGATGATTTCAACCAATGAGGCAGGCAGAGGGTGGAGCCAAACGCCACCCTATCCTATCAGCATCTCCTTATAGAGATGCAGTGAATCAATGCCTCTCTATGAGGATAGTTCAATGTCTCCATGCAGATGTTTGAGACCCTGAATGTCAGTGCCACACACTGTGCATCACTGTCCCAGGTAGCCAACTGAGGAGTGGTCACTGGAGGTGTCCCTAGGCTGTAATGTAAGCACAGCCTTTTCTCTAAAAAGACAATGTTTACAGCAAAAAGCCTGCAGGGACTGACTATACTCACCAGAACAACTGCATCAAACTGTAGTTGTTCTGGTGACTATAGTGTCCCGTTAAAAGGACACTAAAGTAACCCAGACCACTTCAGCTCAATGGAGTGATCTGGGCGCCAGGTCCCCCTGGTTTTATTCCTTCAGATGTAAACATAGCAGTTTCAGAGAAACTGCTATGTTTACTTTTGGGGTTAATCCAGCCTCTAGTGGCTGTCTTCCGGACTGCCGCTAGAGGCGCATCTGTGACGCTGGATGCAAATTTTGCATCCATCACGCAGAGCGTCCATAGGAAAGCATTGAGTATTGCGCATGCGCATTCGGCTCCACTGACGTCGGATGGGGGAGCTGACGTCGGACGTGGAGGAGTGGTCGCCAGCGCAGAGGGAGCCCGGCGCTGGATTAAAGTAAGTAACTGAAGGGGTTTTAACCCCTTCTGTGCCACGAGAGGGGGACCCTGAGGATGGGGGCACTCTCAGGGCACTATAGTGCCAGAAAAAACGCTTTGTTTTCCTGACACTATAGTGATCCTTTAAACATGAACAATGCAGTGACTGTAGATTAATGAAGGGAGTTGTTGCATTTTAAAAAAAATTTAAGTTGTGACAATTATTCAAAGTATGAGTAGCTTTAAACCTAAACATTTTATAAATAGTTTTAAAAATTAAACTATTATGTAGGCAACTACTGATCCGAAAACAAAATCATTTATTTTGAAACATACATAAGGGAACAGATGAAATCTTAGGTGCGCCAGTTTGTGTTTTGTGTCATAGTTTCCATTTTCCATCTCGTGATGCAGATTTATTGACAGAAGTATAAATAAAGTGTTTTCAGATTATGTATTCCTATTCTCAAGTTAAAACAGCCTGCTCTGAATTAGATGTATCTCTAATGATGCACACAAGTTTAACCCCTTAGCAACCGAGATAGTTACACAATTCTACTACTGCATTATCCCACTTCCCCAATTACTGCACCCAAACATATTATACATGTTTTTGTTTTGTTTTTTAAAGCACAGATGGACTTACTTACATTACCTGATAAGTATGAATAGCAAAATATCACATGTGAATAAAGTTCAGGTGGTCCTCACCTGTAGGTATGACCTACCTGTTTTACGATGGCTTGCACTGACGACCAGCTCTCTAGCGTGGGCATTTAAGGGATTCCCCACGTTAGGGAGCTGGTCTATGTTCAGGGAATTTTCCCCGAACAGAGATTAGAAGGATTCCCTGCTCTGCTGCGCTTGTCTATGTTCAGGGAAATGTTCCCAAACATAGACCTGCACTGGTGCGCATGCTCTGTAGCGCACCTGCACTTACCAACCAATTCGTTTTACGACCGAGTCATAGAAAACGGAACCCGGTCTGTATTGGAAAAATATGAAAAAATCAGTTTTTCTTAAAATGTCTAAACCATACAAAAAAAAACCTGAAACAACTATACAAATAGTATCAATTAATAGACTTGTTAAAAAAAACTATGCGTAGGATTTTAATTACTTCATGCTAGTTATACATTTTTTTTTTTCTTTTTTTAAACTAAAGCTTTGCAGAATTTGGTGTGCTGAGATTTATAACTGTAATAGCATTAACATATTCCAAAATGGCTGTACAAAAGTATATATTTATATAAATGCGACACCCACTAAATCAGGGTTTCCCAAAGTGTTGGTCGCGACCCACTGGTGGGTCGCCGTGTGATTCCCAGCGGGTCGCGCTGACCCACGCCGCCGGGGACCTAGGAGACTGTAAGGGCAGACTGATTAGTTGGGCCCTCAGTCCATGACTACGAGCCCGACACCATCAAGGGGGACGGCGGCTTGTCCTATATGCCGCCGGGCCCCCTCTAATCAGTCTGCCCAGCACCTCCGTGTGATAGAGATCTCGCGAGCAATCAGAGAATTACAATGGCAACACTCTAGGTTCGCGCAAGACCTCTATCCCATGGTCTGCAGCTCTGCACCCGGCGGAGCTGCAGACCAGAGGGGTTACCCGTAACCCACCAGACCACCAGGGAATTTATTATATTGAAAACAAAGGTAGGACACAGCCCCCCACACTCTTGCCCCCCTACCCACACTGTAACACCTTCTCTCCCTGCCCCCCACCCCACACTGTAACCTCTTTTCTCCCTGCCTTCCACACTGTAACCCTTTCTCACCCTGTCACCAACACACACACACTCTCCCTCCCACACTGTCACCCTCACCTCCTGTCTCTGTGTGTATGTGTATCTGTATCTGTGTGTCCTTTTGTGTCATTGTGTGTGTATTTGTGTCTGTGTGTGTCTGTATACACTGCACACAAAAACATGCTTACCTTCAAACACACATTATGTTTTTTTTATATATATATATATATATATATATATATATATATGTATATGTATGTGTGTATGTATATATGTATGTATATATATATATATATATATATATATATATATATATATATATATATATATATATATATATATATATATGTATATATATATATATATATATATATATATATAGTAAAGTAATACCGGCACTCAAGGGTTTCACCACAAAAAAATCTTCATTTATTGCGAAGAAAGAATCGACGATTCAGCTCCTCACAGGAGCTTTCATCAGGACACAAGATATCAAAAACATTGAAACACACTTATATAGGACATATAATGATGGGTACTTACATCCAGGTGTATTGCATTCCCGTTCCTGCCGGAACCGCCGCGGGTGCCATGTCAAACCAATTCACTTCCGGGTTCCGATCATGTGACACCCTATACCAAAATCTTATTGGACGGCTCAGTGTGTTACTAGGGCAACCGTAGTCAACAAAATCTTATTGGTTGCACCCACCCACACCTGAGCCGACGAGGGACAAACAAGTCTCCTGTTGTTATGCGTTGGCATGGCGACCCCAAAGCGTCATCCGTGCGCGGACGGGAATGCACTGAAACATATAAATCATAAATATACTACATGAATTGTATGTGTAACAAGTGAAATGACGAGATAAGTAAACTACGTGAAAAATAGAGGATGCCGATGTAAATAAGAAATATAATTATACCTATATACACACGGCATTCATAATAGTGTTGAGGACGAATTAATAAAGGTGCATACTGTGTGAACACTGTAAGGGAGTAAGTGATACTATACTACTGGACTGAAAGACAGTATGTAGAGTATAAGTGAAACTCCTATATTTGTATTAAACAAAATAAGTGAACCATCCATATATATTACAAAGGAAACTACACCTGGAGTGAGAACCACCATTACATACTAGACACAACAAATTATAAAAAATCTTAAATCATAAAGGACAGTCAGCTGTATTTAAAAACAATCAAAAAAGTTTTCTCCTATAAATAACTCATAGTTCTCCAAAAGAATTATTACAAAAAAAGGTCTTTTGTTTTAAATGTAACCATCAATGGAATTAGTGATATAAAATTTAAACAAACATCACAAGTAAATTCCCAGATTGGGAGAATAATATCTGGGAAGGATAAAACGAAATCACACTAGTAGTATCATTCAGCCACCAGAGCACCAGGTATTTAAGTTTTATTACAGTTGGAGTGCAGGGGTTATCTAGATTTTTATATATATGTATGTATGTATGTGTGTGTGTGTGTGTGTGTGTGTGTGTGTATATATAAATATATATATATATTATATACACGCACTGCAATCCAACTTAAGCATTACATACAAACACACCCCTGTATTAAAACACAAAAATTATATACACACCCCTTCATTCAAACCCTACACACAAAAAGCACACCTGCATGTAAAGTCCAGCATTACATTCAAACACCCCTGCATTCAGACGCAAACATTACAAACAAGTGCACCACTAGATTCCAATGGCAATAGTACATACAAATACACCCATACATGCACACATATACATAATACAAAATCATGCTTATATTCAAACGATCAAACACTGCTCACAAATATGACCCTGCAATGATGGGCAAATGGTAGACCCCACTGGCATAGTATTAATGAAGTTCTCCGACAGATGGGGATCTACCTTTTGGCCACACTTGTGCTAGAGGGGGGCCCAGAAAACATGCTTGTTCCAGGGCCCTCTCTACATTAGTTCCACCACTGGGATAATCAACGTAAGGTGCCTGGATGAGCAGGACATCGCACTTCTGATTCTGACTGAGTCTGAGAGTAAGCAGTTGTATGCCTCTAAAACTGATTGCCATGATTTGGCAAGTTTCTGCCTCTAAAACTGCCATGATACCCAAAATTATGACTCTATAACTGCCATGATATGCCAAATGTCTTCCTCTAAATCTGCCATATGCCAAAATTATGCCTCTACAGCTGCCATGCTACCCAAAATTATGCCTCTAAAACTGCCATGATATGCCAATTTTATGCATTTTAAACTGATTGCCATGGTATGCCGTTTGTATGCCTCTAAAGCTGATTGCCCTGGTGTGCCAGTTGTATGCATCTAAAGCTAATTGTCATGGTGTGCCAGTTGTATGCCTCAAAAGCTGATTGCCATGGTGTTCCAATTTAATGCATCTTAAGCTGCCATGATGTTCCAATTGTATGCTTGTAAAGCGGATTGCCATGGTGTGCCAATTGTATGCCTGTAAAGCGGATTGCCATGGTGTGCCAATTGTATGCCTGTAAAGCTGATTGCCATTGTGTGCCAATTGTATGCCTGTAAAGCGGATTGCCATGGTGTGCCAATTGTATGCCTGTAAAGCTGATTGCCATTGTGTGCCAATTGTATGCCTGTAAAGCGGATTGCCATGGTGTGCCAATTGTATGCCTGTAAAGCTGATTGCCATTGTGTGCCAATTGTATGCCTGTAAAGCGGATTGCCATGGTGTGCCAATTGTATGCCTCTAAAGCGGATTGCCATGGTGTGCCAATTGTATGCCTCTAAAACTGATTGCCATGGTGTGCTGATTTTATGCCTCTAAAGCTGATAACCACGGTGTGCCAGTTGTATGCCTCTAAAGCTGATTTCCATGGTGCGACAATTGTATGCTTCTTAAGCAGATTGCCATGGTGTTCATTTTTAAAATATGCATTGAAAGCAAGTGGGTCTTGAAAAATTATAGTTTTCAAAAGTGGGTCTCTGCCCATAAAAGTTTGGACTAGGTTATTTAACTAATGCATTTGAATACATTTTATTTAAAAAAAAAATAATTCTAACCTATTCTACAGGATAGACTTCCACCAATTTCACAGACCATGTGTGTCCCACAACTAGTTTTAAGAGCTTAGATTTGTATTCTGCTACAGAAAGCCATTTTCAGCAAAAATCCCATGCAGACCTTTCTCCATATTTTTAGGACGTTCTAAAGTCTAAAATTACAGACGTGCCAATTTCAGTTTTCATCAGTTTGTTTACTAGGACAGTGTTACTTTTGGGACAAAATAGTAGCATCCAACTCCACTTTACTCCAATCATAGTGTACCATTTGTAAAAGAAAACTGCTTTTGTCATTTAATATGGGGAGATTTTTAGTCTTTTCACTGCCAAATTTAGCAGTATATTTTTTTCGCATACATGTTGAAATTTAATGGTAAATTTCACACTACTCCATGTTCCACTACTTCAAAGACCCAAGATTTGTATTCTACTACATCTGAAAAGTCACGCATCGGAACATTTTTGGATAAATATGATTAGCGCCATATCCTCTTAAAGGCATTCTGTAAGCACCAAAACAACTTTTGCATAAGGGGACACTCTAGGCACCAGAACCACTACAGCAAGCATGTCATCTCAAAGGCTAGCACGGGCCAAATAAATGCGGTTTATGTGGGCCGCAAAAAAAACCAAAACTTAAATTTTCATTGAAACGTAGCTTTGTTTTGAAAAGTACAGTATTAACAAAAAAAAAAGCATCCCCCTCTACTAAACTCCAGTCCCCTCCTCTATACTAGATCCCTCCCTTCCCTCCCCCGTATACTGATTCCGAGTCCCCCCTCTACTATAAAAAATACATTTAAAAAAAAAAAGGCTATATTAAATCTTTATCATCCCCCCCCCCCACCCCCTTCCTACCTTTTGGTGAAGGGGGGATGGACGGACACACAGCCATCCCCGGTGGTCGCACGATGCTGTGTGAAGCGTTGCCATTGTAACGCGTGGCAACGCTCCACACAGATTGCTTGCGGGAGGACAGGAGAGCTGCTTCACAGATCCCTCCCCCTGCATCCGTGTCCTCCTGATACGGAAGCAGAGTTTTGGGCAGGCAGGTGCCTACTCAGCATTGTTGCTGACAGCCAGTGGCCCCCTCCCCCAGCGACCTATGGCCTCGTGCCCACAGAGAGGGCCTGGCGTGCACCTGTGCCTCGCGTGCCATAGGTTCGCCATCACTGGTATATGGAGACTGTGTGAATCTTAGCAAGGGGTGTTGTGGCTTGAGGTGCATAATCAAAGTGATTTTAAGTCCTAAATTACAGATTACTCAGCAGTTAGACATCAGGGCTGTGAACTATCCACCAAATCCACTCCATTAACCTAAACTTGTTTTGATTCTTATAATGTTCCTTTAAAGCATCTCTATCACATGGGCTCTTTACATACTTTGCAAAGACCCCTAATGGTAACGTTGCCACTTGGTGCCGTACAGGTAAGGTATGTTTTACCTGGTACTGTTATATGTGAGCTTGTTTATTAACCAATCAGTTGCTTATTTAGCTATTTAATGAGACTGAACTAGAAAATAATTACTGATAAAGCCAGAGTAGCTGACTTGGAGAATAGTGCTATTTTGACCTTAAATCTGAAATTCACGTTGAATTCTAATTCTAGTCTAGTGAAAAAAAAACCTGATTGATTGTTTGTGAAACTGAAAGTCTTGCTGCCGCAAACAAATTGTGACCAAATGGAAATTAAATAGTCATGTCCCATTCCCCCCAATTTTAAACACAGTTTAAAATAACATGGATTAAAGGGACACTATAGTCACCAAAAAAACGTAACCTTGATGAAGCAGTTTGTGTGTATATAGATCATGACTCTGAGGTTTCACTGCTTTACCCCTTAACGCCATTACGGCGTTCCATGCCGTCCCCATTATAATGGGCTTTAAAGCCGTCGCGTCGGTATAGAACACAGTAATTGGTTACTACCCCAGGAGCCTCCAGATACTCACCTTCCTGGCGATTCGCTTCGGGAGGACTGCCTGATAACCCAGGCAGCCCTCCTCTGGCAAATCAGACCCCCGGGGGCCATGTGATCGCTCTCAAAGAGCTGAGTGGCGACAGTGACCCATTGCAGTACAAATTATTTAAGTTCACAACTTGACACCTAAAATGTTTACTTGCTCTTAGATTGAATAAATCCCATGTTTTTATTAGTTGATGTAGCCATTTGTATGTTTAATTTAGATGGCATTGGTAGATGGCTTTTAAATTGAAAAGAAATTTAACCCCTTAAGGACCAAACTTCTGGAATAAAAGGGAATCATGACATGGCACAACTGTCATGTGTCCTTAAGGGGGTTAAAGAAACACTCACTTTATTTATAAATGTAACTACTTCTAATGCTGCAGTATTGGGAAGTCTCCTGTGGCCTTTTATCCACTATTACTTATAAATAAAGTGTAAATATATATATATATAGCGGCAAGAAAATCCCTTTCCAATCCATCTCATAGAGAAGACTTTTGGCACAGCCCACATGTATGGTAATTGCCACACTGTATGTTTAACCCCTTAAGGACCAAATTTGAAGGGGCACTGTAGTCACTACTGTATAACCATTTCATCTCTTTGAATTGGTTATAGTGCCTGGAGTCCCCTGACCCTATCCCTTCATTTAGAGTTAAATCAGGTTTGAGCAGTTTAACACTAAGTAAGGATTGATGGCCACCCACAGTCTAGCCCCTTGTGGAAGTGTGGCTGAGGCAGAGATTGCCCACTTTGTTGTAGTTGTACCCATTCGTGCCATTAATGGGAGTTCTGATAGGCTAAAAGCAGTCAGCTGACACTCTCAGCCACTTACAGCTGCCAACTGTTGCTTAGGCTAATACTTCCTCATTTGCCAAAGCAGCACAGAGAGGATGGGCTGCTGGGGACTCTCTTTTAGTATTAATACATAACAACAGTTTTGTGCTGAATGAAATGATGGCATCAGGGGACTCCAGACACAATAACCAGATTAGAAGATGAAGCAGATACACTGCCTACAGAGTCCCTTTAATTTGTTTGGTTTTAACTAAAAGGACCAATGCAACTTTTGCTGTGTGTGTGTTCAACTGTAATTTTCATCTTTCTCATTTACGGCTCCAACATATATTATATTATATTGTATACCTTTTTTTTTTTTTTAAAGGACAAAAGGGCTTTAAATTGAGGTGACATATACATATATAAATTCTCATTTGCTATAAAAAAAATACACACAAATGTAACAAACAAAATGAGAAAAAACAATAATAATGTGTACATAATAAGTGCAGCTTAAAGGACCACTCTAGGCACCCAGACCACTTCAGCTTAAAGAAGTGGACTGGGTGCCAGGTCCCTCTAGGATTAACCCATTTTTTAATAAACATAGCAGTTTCAGAGAAACTGCTATGTTTATAAATGGGTTAATCCAGCCCTCAAAGCCTCTAGTGGCTGTCTCATTGACAGCCGCTAGAGGCGCTTGCATGATTCTCACTGTGAAAATCACAGTGAGAACACGCAAGCGTCCATAGGAAAGCATTGTAAATTCATAGAAAAGCTTTCCTATGAGACCGGCTGAATGCGCGCGCATTCAGTCGAATGGGAGGAGAGGAGGAGTAGAGCTCCTCACCCGGCGCTGGAATAAAGGTAAGTTTTACCCCTTTCCTCTCCCCAGAGCCGGGCAGGAGGGGGTCCCTGAGGGTGGGGGCACCCTCAGGGCACTATAGTGCCAGGAAAACGAGTATGTTTTCCTGGCACTATAGTGGTCCTTTAAGAAAAGTAATTCAAAAAAAGTTATATTCTCTGTAAATCAGGACAAATATGTCTAGGATTTCAGGTTTTTTTTTAGTTTTTTTTTTTTGTTTTTTGTAATTACAGGTTATAAAATAATTTACTATGTTTGTCTTGTAAGTTTAATAGCCATCATAGAAAACAAAATTGCCACACATAAGTATAAATTTTATAGAACGGATACATCGTAAACTATTTACCTAAAGGTATTTTGACACTTATGTAGCCATTTAACTGCCAATCCCTGCTAAATATTATTGTAACATTTAGGGTGTTTTTTTTACCAGATTTGTAACATACATACTTATAACCGTTTTTTAACAATAAATATTTCGTAAACCTGATGCCGTTGCCACTTTCCTTTGAAGCACCATATAAGAGAACTGACCATTTCAGTTTTTATAGATGGATCTGATTGGCCTATGTCTCATTTTGTGGTGTTATAGCAGTTTGACTGGTAAAATTACCCAACAAAGGCCTACCATTTTGTGAAAGTAGACCTTCAAGGGTATCTCTGATGTATTTTGTGCTTTAGCATGCTGTCATTTTTTTTTTTTTTCTACAGTTCATGTCAAAGTTTGTGATATTTTTTTTTTAAAGTGACAAATAAGGGTCACTCAAACCCAAAAACAAGCTGAAGTATCTTAGGGGTTTAGACTGTTCCTTTAAGGAAATAACAGTTGTGTTAATTTAATCCTCTAATGCAGCGTTTCCCAATTGGTGTTCTGCAGAACCATGGGGTTCCTCAAGAACACAAATGTTGTTCCGCAAAAATCTTGGGAAACAAAATGGCCGCAGTGATAAATGAGGCAGTCGGCGAGGGAGCTGAGCAGGGGAGAGTGCTCCCTCGCCGGCCGCCTCAATCATTACGGTGGCCATTATCACAATAGCTCTTCAAATATTTTTCCAGTCACAGAAGTTAAGCTCACAGGTCTATAATTTCCAGGCAAGGATATAGTAACCCTTTTTAAATATAGGAGTGTCATCGGCATTCCTCCAATCCTCCGGTACAATACCTGAAACTAAAGAATCTTGAAAAATTAAATACAGAGGTTCACTTATTTCCCCACTTAGCTCCTTAAGTACTCGTGGGTGAATACCGTCAGGCCTCAGAGCTTTATTTACATTCATTTTCTTTAACAGCTGTAGCACCTTGTCTCGAGTCATCCAATCACAAGTTATCTGCAAGTTTTTTTTTGCAGCACTTATATGCATATCTCTTGCCATAGGATCCTTATTAATATATATATATATATATATATATATATATATATATATATATATATATATATATAAAATAGTTATTTAACATTTCTGCCTTTTCCTGGTCTTCATTAGCTAACAGACCCCTCTCTGTTTCCAGTGTACCTACACTTTCATTTTTTGTTTTTTTAGAATTGATATTCTTGAAAAATAAATTGGGATTGGTTTTGCATTCTTTGGCTTTCAATTTCTTATTTTTTACTTTAGCCACTTTAATGGCCTTTTTGCAAGCATTATTGACTTCCTTTTATCTTATATATAGGATGCCTCTGATTTGTCCGATTTAAATGCCCTTTTCTTATTTTAATCTCTTGTTTTACTTCTCTACTAAGCCACATTGGTTTCAATTTTCTTTCTTTTATATTTATTACCCAATGGTACATACTGAGAAATGTACCTTTATAATATTTGTTTGAAGAGTTTCCATTTATCCTCAGTGTTTTTTTTTCACTAAGGAGTTTATGCAGTTGTAGAGCTGCCCTAGGTTTATATCTATGTTTCCCTTCAGAGTCAAGTAAAATCTAAAATTATTAGTCAACGAAACAGTGGTGTCGCTAGGAGGGGGCCATGGCCCCCCCTACATCATGCTGTGCCCCCCCCCTTGGGCCCTCCCCATATGCTCTCTGTCTTGGGATATTATACACAAACAGACCTGTATTATACAGAGAGCAGCACTATACAGGGAGCACTGACTCTCCCGGGATATTATACACACAGCCATGTATTATACAGAGAGCAGCACTGCACAGGGACCGCTGACTGTCCCAATTTATTATACACACAATCCTGTATTATATAGAGAGCACTTACTGTCCAAGGATATTATACACAGACCGTAATTGATAGCTGTGCTGCAAAATGTCCTTGGAAGAGTTAAATAATTATAAAAACATGTGAGATTTATTTTTTAAAGAATACATGGCACAACTCACAGGTAACATTTAGTAAACTATTGGGTTGTGCTAAATTCTCAGAAGTGACAGCTATGTGTTAATATGTTCTCATTAAGAAGCATTAACTCCACATAAATAGAATTGTTTACAAATGATTCAGCTCTTGTGTTTATAACTGGCAGTTAGTGTGCAACTCATTGTTCAAACTTGTCTACTCACAGAATGAACATAACTTGGTAAAGTTCAAGTCTTTATTCTTTTTCTTTTATCTTTTTAGCTCTGTAATGTGTAGACACTAAGAAATCGTCAAACTACTATACAATGATCTGAAAGAAATGTCTCTGTTGGTTGTTTGAGTCAGTTGTCAGCCACTAGAGGAACTTCCGGGTTCTTAGATGACTTTTGGTCATCTAAACGACGCAGGACGTCCTCACGCTATGCATGAGGATCTCCAGCGTCGTCGGAATCCCCATAGGAAAGCATTGAATAATGCTTTCATATGGGGAGGTCAAATGCGTGTGCAGCTGGGAGGAGCGTGGGCAGAGCCGACCCAGCGCCAAGGGACATCGACAATGGATTCAGGTAAGTGACTGAAGGGGTTTTAACCCCTTCAGCGACATAGGATGGGAGTGGGAGGAAAGGAGCCACTTCAGGATTCAACAGTGCCAGTAAAATGGTTTTGTTTTCCTGGCGCCTTTAAACTCAGCATTTCACACATTCCCATTGCTGCTGCCACTGAAATAATTCCCAAATGTGACCCCAAAAGGGGAAACCCCCTAGAATACAAAAACAGCATTTTTCTCTCTGGACCAAAGTATTCTGAATAATGGCTATATTATACTTTTAATGCCTTGTGTACTGTTTTTGCTTTAACATTCTACACCCGAAACGGCCTGGATTAAATTAGGTAATATTTTTTTTTTTTTGTGGATTCCATAACTATTTTGTTTTTACTATATTAAACCCGTTCTTGTACCGTACGTGAGATCACCTATCCTCAAGTCTTAAAGTTAATGAACAGAGCACATGTAAAAAGTTTAATTGGTCCTGTATAAATGTGTCACGGAATCCTATGCCTTTTAGAGCTTTGCATATTGTTGCCCAATCTGATACTTAAATTTCTGCATTTCTTTTTAGAGTTTTTTGAAGAAACACATTTTTGCATTAAGAAAATTGTGCTTTGTACAAGAGATCAAAGTTAGGCATGGTAGGGCAGAGTAGACTAACTCTGTAAATAACCTGGGTCATATGCGATAAGGAACTTCAGGTCACACAGAGCAGAAATGTAGTTGGGAGCACACCTATTTTATCTGTGCCCAAAGCCTCCTAGCACCAGTGCACTGTAGTGGTTATGGTGCTTGGAATGCCCTTTTAAGTGTTGTTACTAGAGAGAGAGACATTAGGAGAGATTTTCATCTTTTGTATCTACGATGTGTTTTTGTTATTTCTTTTGAGGGTACGCAAGTAAATCTGCTGTCCCTATAAGCAGATGTGTTCTGCGTGATTATCTTTAAACTTGTTCCTAGCATATAATGGATTGCAATGCGATGGAAATAGATAAACAGTGTGATTTAAGTTCAAACTGGGTAAAAATAGCAAACCTATAATATAATACTGTATATTATATTTAACTGATCCTGCAGAATGTATTCTAAATCACAGGTTTCAAATCAATTTCCCTGGGGGCCACTGGGAGTGTTACTGTCTCTCATGGAGGCCACAGATCTGTACTGCCGGAGAGACGCATCCATATACACAAATCGGCTCTCCCATTGCCAAGACACACACATCCTTACTCCCTTACATGCATATCCCGTAGCACGCAACTCTAGAATGCCACAGGCTCACAGGTTTCTGAACACCAGAAAATACAGGTGTGAATGTGGGTTTGACCAGTGGCCACCAGCAAACTGGGAATAAGAAAGGTATGCCCTGGACTCAGACTTACTTCTCTATTTCAGGACGGGGGGCTGTGAACAGAATTTCCCTATTTAAGGGTCCGGAAAGGTGCCCCATGGCTGTTACTTTGATACCCTTGTTGTAAATAATCTTCCAGGCCTTTAGCAAAATAATTATTGATTGAATGTATTTTGTTTTGTAGGAAGCTGCACAAGCTCTGATTTATGCCGGAATGGCTGGTTCAACACTGGACAATATTCAGGACAAAATAAGGGAGTACTTGGAGAGAGTGGAAGCGTTGTACAGTGCAGGTAGGTACTCTCTCTCTATATACCCCGATGCTGCCATGATTATTCTTATTGGTTTCTGTTTATTGCCACATCTCCTTTTGGATCATTCATGACAATGTCTTAGCCAGTCACAGTGATCATCTAATCACTTGTTTCTGTAGGTTTTTTTCTTTATTCTATTTCCCTCCTCCTTTTAGTCATTTGCCCCCTGTCACATGGCATGTTTAGGAATATTGTTCCTAATATATGCCTATTAGAAGGAATTGACAGACCCAAAAGTGTGTAGAAAATTATATATGTGGGTTGACTTTTTAGTGGATGGGTTTAACCCTTGATGTATACCCTTATAACAATTGGAGGGGGTAGCAGTGCTCCACTGGTCTGACAGTTAAATGTAATCCCTCAGCTTCCCATGCATGTTACTGTTACTGGATTGATGTTGTAAAATAAGCACTGAACTGAAAATCCATGTGTTTTTTGTCTCCCATGTTATAGTTCAAGGACAGAATGCTGACCCTTTAAAAACAAAACATCACTTGGACCTTGAGAGGGCACACTTCCTTGTCACTCAGGCATTTGAGGAGGATGATAAAGGCAATATGGAAGATGCCATCGAGCTGTACTCTGAAGCTGTTGAACTGTGCATAACAACGGTCAGTAAACAGTCCCATCACTGCTGGGACATTTCTCCTTTACTTAAATGACTCTATTACTACTATTATACATGAAATGAATTAGAAATAACCGTAGTCCAAATTAGAATTGCAGTTAAGTTTTATTCTTTCTTTACTTTGCTAAAGCCATAATTATTTAAGTTCTTTACGTGGGCAATGCACCTAATTAGATGATGCATGTTGTGCATTTAGGTTTTAGATGTTTTGCTAGGCCGCCATGTTTATACGTCTCCCACTCAGCATAATCACATCTGCACTTATACAAGGCCTTTATATATATATTGTGTACAAATGTGTGAATTTACGGGTGTAATGAATATGCGTATAATATATGTGAAAACATTGTAGAGTAGTTATAACCAACTTTAATCTTTGAGCTAGACTTCCCATGAAGCATGACCCACCTTACGGGGAGCTATAGTTCATAGACATATACACTGCTCAAAAAAATAAATGGAACACTTAAACAACAATATGTAACTCCAAGTCAATCACACTTCTGTGAAATCAAGCTGTCCACTTAGGAAGCAACACTGAGTGACAATCAATTTCACATGCTGTTGTGCAAATGGGATAGACAACAGGTGGAAATTATAGGCAATTAGCAAGACACCCCCAATAAATGAGTGGTTCTGCAGGTGGTGACCACAGACCACTTCTCAGTTCCAATGCTTCCTGGCTGATGTTTTGGTCACTTTTGA